CTGTATGTGCACGCCAGTTGGGCAGTAGAGTTATACCAATGCTAACTTACCAGCAATATCTGGAGGGTCTTCATTGGCTAGATCAAGCTTGCGATACATCAGTCTGGTGAGGCATACACACAGACACACAGACACACAGACACACAGACACACACACACACACACACACACACACACACACACAGACAGGCAGACACACACACACACACGTACCAGCGTAAACACACATTGTACAATGAAGAGAAACAGCACAGTGCATCGTTCAACCACTGGGCACATTCCTTTCTGTACACAGAAGGTTATGTGTTACTTCAAAGTATACACTACAAGTATGCTATGTACTGCCATGCTATGCACTGCCATGGTATGTACTGCCATGCTATGCACTGCCATGGTATGTTCAGAACCATGGAACCATGGCAAATATGGTGAGATAACACAAAACCGGCAACAACAGGCTTGGCAAGTTGGCAGGGGTCCTCAGAAGCAGGAGCAAGCAGCTGAGCAGGACTAGTATTGGTATCCTGTACGCGTTACACCGGTACTTCAAATAACATGGCACACTACAAGATACAAGCTATATGTACAAGACAAGAAATGCAGCCATTTCTAAAGCACATGTACAACAAGTTCAACATCACAATTACAGTCAGACCTCGCACAGACCGCATACATCAACAACACAATTACACTCAGACCTCGCACAGACCGCATACATCAACAACACAATTACACTCAGACCTCGCACAGACTGCATACATCAACAACACAACTACACTCAGACCTCGCACAGACCGCATACATCAACAACACAATTACACTCAGACCTCGCACAGACCGCATACATCAACAACACAATTACACTCAGACCTCGCACAGACCGCATACATCAACAACACAATTACAGTCAGACCTCGCACAGACCGCACACATCAACAACACAATTACACTCAGACCTCGCACAGACCGCACACATCAACAACACAATTACACTCAGACCTCGCACAGACCGCACACATCAACAACACAATTACAGTCAGACCTCGCTTAACCGCACACATCCGTTTCCCAAAGAAATATGCGGATAGGCGAGGGAACCGGATAGTCGAACAAACATACTGTATGTATGCATGACATATGCTGTAAATCGGTAACTATCGGTTTTCTTCCCGATGGCGAGGGATCAGGATAAAAGAGGACCGGATAAGCGAGGTCTGACTGTATTACCGTAATGTCAAGTAGTCGGCAAGAGGGGAAAAAGAAAACAATAAAAAACTAACCGAAGCAGTCCGTATGCACCGACCATACAGAAAGTAATACCAATGAACAAATGAAGAGTGAACGTTGAGAAAGTAATACCCTGTACATAGCCAGCAGAACACAGCAAAGTACAGCAAACAACAATGAGACAACACAAATATCGTATGAGTTGGTGATTACTCACCACTCAAAACAACCAAAGTTTGATGATGGCTAAAAGCTATTTTTTGAGACCGGCGAAAGTTTAATATCGACTGGATTTTGTGGATTTACGCTTTACAGTATCATAACCGCGAGAGTATGCAACTTTGCCTATGGGTCTGGTGTGGCGCGCTGCCTGCATTACGTACTACTGTCGTGGACATGGAAATCCGGTCGGAGGTCAAGTGGCCCCAGGGCGTTGTCCATGCAGTCGTGACTCAGGCGTGAGTACGCATACGATCAACATGTGCACTGCACGCAACGTTCTGTACGCACTGAGGGCGCCGGCCCCGGTTATTCGACTGGATTTCCATGTCCAGGACAGTAGTAGCCACGAGCTGTGGGCCATTGCATTACGATTTCCTGCTTCCAAATTCGCTTTCCTCGGCTTCGGTTGGTTTTGCAGGTGATGTGTCACCCACAGGCAATGCCTTTGAATTTACCGTATTGCATGTGAAATCGCTGAGGCTAAACCGCAGGAAAGCCCAAAACCAGGCAGCTGGACCGTCATTAATTTTCACTACGTACATGTAATGCAGGCAGCGCGCCGCGCAGGGCACCTATACTGCTATAGCTCGGAGATCAAAGTTGCACACCCTTGGGGTTAGGTACTCTTGGTATCATTGTACACAATGACACATAGTATTTATCCCTAGCTGCATCTCCTCCCATCCTACAGTACCAACCGACAAATCCATGAGCTTCATGTCAGGCCAACGTATTTATGTCTGGTTGTGTGTGTGTGTGTGTGTGTGTGCGTATGTGTGCGTATGTGTGTGTGTGTGTGTGTGTGTGTGTGTGTGTGTGTGTGTGTGCCAAACTGTTGGAAGGCTGCCATCTTGCCAAAGCATTTGGAAGTTGGACTAGTTTCGGCTCCACAATCCAGTTTGTCGTTACTATTAGCTTTCATGGCTGAGGTTGTTGGTATGTCTGTTGGCTCTGGGTTCCCAGTACTCAGTAGCCGAGGCTGGTTGGTAAAGTAACTCCAATTTCACTTCAAGGTACCAGTGCATCTAGTGTCTGCTTTTATCAAAGCAGCGTGCTGTCTATACTGGTTACCCCAGCAAGTGTAGGCTGTGCATAGGTAACTGTCTTGGCCGTTTTATGCCGATGTACTCCGTGTGGTGTAGACCAGGTGTGCATTGGTGGTCGATTCACATGGCTTCGTCAGTTGTGTGAAATAAACAGTTATCTGGCGCAAGTCTTGATCTGTCTCATTCAGATCTTGTTCGCTATTGTTGCTATAAGAGAAAATCTGTGGGTGCACATCCAGTGCATTTGCAGATTTGCGTGCTTCTCTTGCGACGGGCGTATACATGGGCGTATACATACATGGTGTGTGTGTGTTTCTGTACTGTACAGAACACAGCGAGTTTCATTCAGAATACATCAATACTATCGGTGTGGAATGTAGATGAAACCCCGAAGAGAATGAATCCCACTAGAGAGCTAGTCCCGGTTTATGCACTTAGAACCATGGCAAGACATCCACCGATACTAGCAGTCACTAAATACTAGCATACAGTACTTACAGCTTCCAGGATAGCTTTGTTGGAGACAATGATGACATTGGGAGGATCTCCAACAGCTGTTATCACACACACACACACACACACCACACACACACACACACACGCACGCACACATGTAGAACAGAGCGGAGAGAAGACCAGATCAGTACAAGGGAAGAGTTTCAGCACTAGAGTAGACCCTTGATAATATGCCCCCCCCCCCCCCCCCCTGGGGATCAGGAAATTGAGCAGTACTTAGTATCCAAATATACTTCAATACGGAGCACTACACCTTTTCTCGGACATGCTCGTACTAAGCAAGTCTATGTCTTACCAGAGTACGCCCCAAGTGAGTTCACATGTATAGCGGACTGCCATGGCTGCACAAGAAAGTTAAACAAAAGAGCCCCCACAGTCACCCAGTACCCCCCCCCCCCCCTCTCATACATACTGGCTACCAGCCAGGACTGATTCAGCACCAGGGTCACTGGTTGAAAAGTCAACAGTTGAATGCATGCATGCAGGCACCCAGCCTGACAGCCTCATAGCCACACAAGCAGACAGCCTCACCTGTTGCTGTACCACCAATGTTGGAAAAGACAACTTCTGCCATCAAAACTCTAGTGGGATCCAAGTTGAGCACTTGGCAGAGACTGTAGAACACAACAGCACGTGCTGACAGATTTTAAAAGCTAACTGAACAAGCCCAGATGCTCATTGTGTTACATTGCCAATAGACTCAATACAATGTACTTGTACAATTCAGCATTGCTAAAACCAGCATGAAATCCAGATACAGGCTCCCCACTGCAGTGCAAAGACCGCTCAAAAGATCAATACTGTATTTTATACTTAGTTTGTTAGGTTATAAGCTGACCCCCAATCCAGAGATCTTGTGTCTGGTTATTCCCAACCAAGCACTACTAACACATAACAAATCACAGAAACACTTCCTTCTCATCGCAGGGTGAAGTGTCCAAACCCAGGCAAAATGCGTACACATGGTGCACTCGCGCATGCGGTGCAGGTCGTTTATGAATTAGTTCAACCTCCCTCCGTATCCTCGTATCACTGGACTTATAACTGGAAAAAGACGGCAACAATAGAGAACAGCTGCTACATGAGCATGTACAGGTAGCAGAACTAACCGAATAGAGACGGGTGTGAGTAACAAGATGGTGGTGACATTGTCCTGTACAGAGAACAAACAACAGTCAATGCAGGCATGTAGCACCAGCAATGTCAACAATGTGCTTTGAGCAGAATAGTACTACTGGCTACCACTAACAAAATGATGCTTGTAGGAACAGGCCGAGATGGACAAAAGACACACATGTAGACATGGTCGACATTTTACTGTGCTATTTGTGCTGGCTGCCCACTGTAGCAATTGTAGTACATAATGGATAGTATTTCAATTCCAACACAACTATCGGTGGGACAAGGGCACCCTGGCAACAACACACCATGTACATGCACCCTCGACTTGCCTAGTTTTAGTCTTTTTTCACCGGGTGCGTCAAAGATATCTGCTCTAAAGCCGATTCATACTTCATTTCGCGCACGGGAAACGCGTCGCGAAAAATTTGATCTGAGCTCAACTATTTCCCGTACGCGAAATGAAGTATGAATCGGCCTTAAAGCTTGCTGTGGTTCTGCAGTTAGTGCACTCTGACTTTGATGCGTTAAGGGGCTATCCGGCATTATCGATAATTTTCACGAAACGAAAAAGTTTTGTTAGGACCCTCCCCCACCCACCCACCCCCCTGAACGAAAAATAGATCGATTTGACAGCAAGAATGCCTTGATGTCTCTCATATCAATATTTTTCAAAACGAAACTCCCCTTGACCCACCCACCCATATACGAAACTTTTTCTCTTCGTGTAAAAGATCGATAATTATGGACGGCCCCTAACGCTATTTCGCAATAAACTTACCAAGAAAGCGGACACGATTCCAGAGAAGAAGCAGAGGATTGTGATGAGTGGCCAGACCTTACCCTTAGCAAGTTTGTATGCCTGTGAGAGTCATGGGAGAAAGAACAACATATTAATGGTGGTTTAGCGTGTGCGCTAAGCCCTGTTAACGAACGTGGAACATCTACCACTCATACTTAGTCTGATGATCATGCATCTGATTATGATGTCATTGCTATACATGCGCATGCGCAGCGCGCGCCACTCTCCCACGCGTGCTTTCCAAATCTTGCTTTAGAGAGAGAGAAAGAGAGAAAAGAGAGACTCCTTTGTCACTTCTGCTTTCTGACGACTTGACTGTTCACTGGTTTGTCCGTCAGTTGTCAATTTCCCCTTCCCTCCCAACCCCATTCGACTGGGGATCACTATCTCTCCGTCACTGTCACCATAATTTCCTCAATCACAGTGTCAGTACAACTCTTGTCAATATACTTATATCGGGTGAGGGCAGTCTATCTCCGCAGCTGGCTCATTTCAATCACTACCGGTCGCAGCTCCTGCCCACGGCAGGCCGACCGTCTCTCGTTCACACTCTGTGTGCTCCAGGTCACAGCTCCTGCGCAGAGCAGGCCGACCTGTCTGTCTCTCTCTCTCACACACACTATGTGTGCACCGGGTCACAGCTCCTGCGCAGAGCAGGCCGACCTGTCTTTCTCATGCACGCCAGCTGCTCCGCCCAATATCCCTGATATGCCAACCAGAAAACAATGTGTTCTGAGCCGGGTGCATGCCTGTATGTGGAGAGTGCGTTAATTATATTATTATGGTCTGTTTGCTACATGTAACTACAGTACTTCACTGCAGTGCTGGGCCAAGCAGGCAGATTCTCTGTATGAATACATTTCGCTGATTTTCGCACTTAGTCATATCATGACTAGGGGCATGAGAACTACATGTAGTAGGAGTACTAAGGGGTCGTCGCAAAAGTTTGTTGTCGTCCCTGAAACGAACATGGGGAGGGGGTGCGAGCCAAAATCGCAAGTCGACCGACACTGTACATATGACATGTACATGCATGCGATTTTCGTCGTCCAGCATAGCAAGCTGTGTTCGTTTCAGAGGGAGGGGAGGGGGTCCAAGTACAAAATGAACGACGTCCATTTCAGGGACGACAGGAAACTTTTGCGACGACCCCTAACACTGGTACAGGCTATGGAAGAGTACACAGGCCATGGCATACACAGGCCATTGCATACACAGGCCATGGCATACACAGGCCATTGCATACACAGGCCATTGCATACACAGGCCATTGCATACACAGGCCATGGCATACACAGGCCATTGCATACACAGGCCATGGCATACACAGGCTATGGCACACATAGGCCATGGCATACACAGGCCATTGCATACACAGGCCATGGCATACACAGGCCATGGCATACACAGACCATGGCATACACAGGCCATGGCATACACAGGCCATGGCATACACAGGCCATGGCATACACAGGCCATGGCATACACAGACCATGGCATACACAGGCCATGGCATACAGAGGCTATGGCACACACAGGCCATGGCATACACAGGCCATGGCATACACAGGCATACACAGGCCATGGCATACAGAGGCTATGGCACACATAGGCCATGGCATACACAGGCCATTGCATACACAGGCCATGGCATACACAGACCATGGCATACACAGGCCATGGCATACACAGGCCATGGCATACACAGGCCATGGCATACACAGGCCATGGCATACACAGACCATGGCATACACAGGCCATGGCATACAGAGGCTATGGCACACACAGGCCATGGCATACACAGGCCATGGCATACACAGGCCATGGCATACACAGGCATACACAGGCCATGGCATACACAGGCTATGGCACACATAGGCCATGGCATACACAGGCCATTGCATACACAGGCCATGGCATACACAGACCATGGCATACACAGGCCATGGCATACACAGGCCATGGCATACACAGGCCATGGCATACACAGGCCATGGCATACACAGGCCATGGCATACACAGGCCATGGCATACACAGGCCATGGCATACACAGACCATGGCATACACAGGCCATGGCATACAGAGGCTATGGCACACACAGGCCATGGCATACACAGGCATACACAGGCCATGGCATACACAGGCTATGGCACACATAGGCCATGGCATACACAGGCCATTGCATACACAGGCCATGGCATACACAGACCATGGCATACACAGGCCATGGCATACACAGGCCATGGCATACACAGGCCATGGCATACACAGGCCATGGCATACAGAGGCTATGGCACACACAGGCCATGGCATACACAGGCCATGGCATACACAGCCGTGGCATTCACAGGCCATGGCATACACAGGCCATGGCATACACAAGCTATTGCATGGTCACCAGTACACTGTCATTGCATGTTTGCACACACCATACCTTCAGTGCCAACCAATCAAACACTCCTGTTGTAGAAAATACTCCCACAAGTGTCATCTGCACATACAAAGGAGAGAATGTACAGGCGTACAGTTGTGCATTGGAATATCTCCCATGTTTCTCGTTGACAATGATACAATGTCATATTGTACAATCACTGCTGGAACATATCAAGCAGGCTTTCTTCTTCTTTTCTTCTTGTTTTGTGAGTGAGAGAAAAGATTGACTGCTTACACATGCATGTGCTGCATGTACTAGGAAGCACAACATGACTCATCTGTTAGGGGATCACAGATACATGTGGTCGATGATGTCTGGCAATGGTATTGAATGCACATGTCGATGCCCAATGGCGCACTAACTATACAAATGTTACGCAATGAGTACAAATAGATCAATGCTAACATGTCTGACGTATGCAATTGCAAGGTAAAATGTTTGCTGTACATGTACATGTACTAACAATAAATCGAGTACCATTGTAAACACATAAGCTATCTTGAGGTACCTGTAGTCACTGCTCTCAGAAATCAAGGAAATGCACCATGCTGCGTATGCTGTGTATGGCATGGATGCAGACTTTGCAGTACCTGCTTGCTCCACATTCATGATCGTTGGACAAAAAGCTGGACAAGTGGATACACCACATTCATGATTCTCACCATGCCAAAGAGCAAGCCGATTGTTTCGTAATCAATCCATTCAACAGTTTTATCCAGGGATGGTCGCTGGGAACAGTCGAAAGTACACACACACACACACACACACACACACACACACACACAAACCATGACAGTAATAGTGGGTAGTTAGTCACCCAGGTATATGCTCCAAATAAATACGAATCAAAAAGACATACCGTAATGCATGTACACCCACACATGCACACATACATATGTACCCCCCCCCCCCCACACCCACATGCACACATACATATGTACCCCCCCCCCCCCCCCCCCACACACACACACACACCCACATGCACACACACCCACATGCGCACATACACACCCACGCACACACGTACGCACGCACACACACACACACACATATACACTGAACTGTACCTTGTTTAGCAAGGAGAGTGTCATCAGTGCCAGCAAGCTACCAATCATGGCAGCGATGGTACGGTGAACAAGCTGTGGGAATAAAACAGGCCCAGTGAAACGTCAGGGATCGATTTACTTTATTTTTTTGCATAGCAGTCACTGCTACACAGTTTTACAATTGACTAGCAACTGCCAGTATTGATTGGCAGTTTTCCTTCATCACAAGGTTACAGGTATATCTGTACAATAGCAAGATTTTGTACAGAAGAGGACAATAGCTGCAGTTGCTATTTTGCTTTTCCAAGCGAACGGTTGAGCTGAATATTTACGTTCGGGTTTTGCTTGGGCTTGTTTCATGTTACGTATCAGTGATCAAGGCCAAACACGCTCCAGACACAACTCTACCGTGAGAGCACTGGCACACATGTACTGAATACACACTCATCAGACACAACTCTACCGTGAGAGCAATGGCACACATGTACTGAATATACACTCATCAGCCCCCATGTTCAAAGGCTTAATAAGTAGAGAGCCCTCCAATCAAAGCACAAAAAAGGTTGAGTCTGCAACCATGACAATGAAATAGGGGGGGGGGGGGGGGGGGGGGGAGTACAACAATTCATGACTGCAAAGAAAACTCTGATGAATGGCGCATAGACTATCCAGGGGCCTCAGCTCAGGTGGCTGCTCGAAGGTCACTTTATAAGACCAGCATGGTGACCCATACTCAACACTTAGGAATAAATCAAACACGGAATCGTCCTAAACACCATAAATGTACAAGTGAATATAGGTTTTGAAAAAGTTCCGATGCCCCAACTCCTTTGGTCGGGATATGGTCAATCATAGAAAACTGACAAGCACCACCAACTCACCTCAAAAACAATCAGTACGTAGACAAAAACCAGTATAATTCCAGCGAAGACGGTCTAGGACATAGAAAGAGGGACAATAGTGCAAGTGATGAAGGCAACACACACTAACAGATAGATGCGAGTTTAGGGCAACCAGCCAAAACACACACACACACATCCATATGGCATTCCGCAAGACAGAGAAGGCAGGGTTTTAGCCAAAGGGAGGTAGGGGTGCAGCGTCCTCCTACTCTGATTGAGCGCCCCCGATGAAAAAGTGCCTGCCCCCCCCCCACCCATTTGTTGATTTTTATGTTTTTCATGCCATTCAACGAAAAATGCAATCGATAATCACTACTAGAGGGTTCAGTGATAGTGATGAAGTTGGTTGTTCTTACGTGTAACACAATTGTTCCACGTAGGAACAACCAACTTCATCAAGACAAATTTGGAAAATGGGTTACGGCCCGGGGTAACTGTCTCCCCTGCGCGCCCTCTACTATTTACACCTGGCTAGAACCCTGGAAGGGCATTTTGCGTGCAAAATGAACTGACCAGTACAGTCGTCCCTCTCTAATCTGGCACTTGTTTATCCGGAACCCTTGCCAACCGGCGCACTTTCTGACGAAACCGATTTTTTTCGTTCAATTCCTACATCTTAATCCGGCACTTGAATTCGGCCTCCGGCAGTGACTTTTTGAAACGAATCGCTCAAACTGCACGTAGGTTGATTTCATAATCCGGCAGTCGTAAATCGCGTGCCATACAGGTACACTCCTTGCCAGGCCAGGCTAGGCCAGTCTGGTCAGTGCAACGCGCGCGGGGCCACTTCAGAGTTCAGTTCAGTTGACAACTGTACTCGACCTCGCGCGGGAGAGTTCAGTTCGGTTGGTTGTTAGGACTTTTCCGAACCCTAACTCAATTTATACAAAGAGAAAGACCAAGAAACTACAAGTTACGCTATACTGTCTACTAACACCACCAGTTACTAAACAATCAGCTCATGCGATAACAATATAAAGCCGTGCACCAAAAACTTGGGTCGACACGGAAAAACCCTGCGTTTTGACGTATGATACATGCATGCAATTGGGTAGGGCCGGATTTCTTAATCCAGCACCCTCGTTAATCCAGCAGAAAACGCCGTAGCAAAAGGTGCCGGATTAGAGAGGGACGACTGTATAGGAGTACAGGATCATCATAGTGCAACACATAACATACCTGGTATCTGCCAGATGCCGGCAGTGCGTCAAATACCAATCCAAATGGCACAAGACGTGTGTCTTGTGATTCAAACTGGAAGTACAAACGGCTATATCTGGAGAGCAACCGAGCGTAAACAGAAGGAAACAAAATGGTTCAACGGACCAGGCAACATTGATTTCATCGTAATGACACATGCACTCACACATACCAGAACACCAATGGCAATGACATACAGCAGAAGCCAGAAACAGCACCAAGTCAATAATCCTTTTAACAAATCTTGGTACACCACAACTCACTTGTGCTGTTCAACTGTAAAGTCACGCTCCACAGTTTCAATAACTCGGTTCGGATCTAAGTTTAACGAGATGTTGTTAGACTGCAACAACAACAAATAGATAAAACAGATATATCGTCACATGTACATGTGTTATCGACAGGCTTGGCATTGGTACTAATCCACATAAGTGCACTATACGGTCTATACTCAATACACTATATCATATACACTGCAATATACCCAATACACTATAATTATAGTCTGCACAATACTCAATACACTATATACACTGCACTGGACAGTGGACACAATGCTGTATGGAAGACACCAAGATGTATAGCTAATGTATGAGAGGGGCTGCACATTGGGGCTACAGCAGATAAAAAAAAGCATGTTATTCGGTGACAAATGGGCTGCACTGTTGAGGCATTGCACAGCGAATTTCAAGACACTAGAAATGCAGCAGTTAGCAAGCAGTGACACCAAACCTTACCACAACTTGGGCAGTGTCTGAACCCTCCAGTATTCCCATTACACGCACAGTGAAATTCAAAGTTGTATTCGTGACCTCTGTACATACAACGCATATAGAACGCAAATTCACACACATGGGGAGAGGCAAAAAGACAGGCATGACAGTTACATGCAATGAAGTAGTTTCAGTTCTCATAAGTCTGCACTAGAAGACAAAGATCCGCCCAGACCCGTAAAGATCCGTTATCTTCCACCATCATTTCATGAACTGAGCTAGTAGGTCTGTGATGAACACCCTCCTTCCAAAGAGCAACAACAAGCATGTATGCGTACCATATTTTACCGGATCAACTTGAAATTTCGTTGTCGTCCAAAACAGCTCAGGTGGTGTATGGTCCCCTTGTCTAGGTGACTTTGCATATGCTCACTCTCACTCATGGTCTCATAGTCAAACCCAACTTGGAAAATTCTCAGGAACTTTCACCTCACATCGCATTCGTTAACTACGCCTCAACAATCCTGACAGATAAATTCTCTTTAGCCGACTAGACCCTCCTGCACACAACCATCACCATTGCGAGGACACTTCCGTAGACGATATTGATAAACTCCTTCAGGCTAAAGAGCGCAGTTTAATGGTGGAGGTGACTCAACATTTTCTTCAATGGCCGAGAGCTCTGTCGCACCCTGTAATAAAGATAAATTCTCAGTTCAACAAATAACAGTTACCGTACTTCCCCACATATAAGCGCATGCGCTTATAAGCGAAAATTTGCTGCAAAAAAGATCTTTGGCTGTGTAAACATGTTCGGGTAGAAGCCCATGCGCTTATATGCGCAATACAGGTTTGTCTGTGTCCTAAACAATGGTGTCATCACACTACTTAGTGGTATATTTCGCTCCCGCCTTTTCACCAATAGTGTTCACATATAAGCACATGCGCTTATAATTGAGGGGTGCGCTTATATCCGGACATAAGCACATGCGCTTATATGTGCGGAAGTACGGTATAAAGTTACAAGAGTTACTAGTACAAGGACTGAAAGATATGAAAGTAGAGTCAACAATAAGGCGAAACCTTTCAGTTTTCCACCACTAAAACCCATGCTGAAGATCTAAAAGATCTAAAATATAAATAAAGCAGGATGACAAAGAACTTACCTCCAACTCTCACTTTGGTTATGAATGGACCGGTGAATTTTGATTCCAAATACGCATGTGGATGGTCAAGCGGGATATCATGCTCTGCAGCAATTAGTAACACAAGGTGTTGAACAGAGATTTAACGGACACACATTTAACCACACGCAGTAAAATAGCTTGTCAACTATCAAAACATTTTCCAAGAACTTTTTTTGACCCACTCACATGAGTCACTACATGGGTATGATGCTATGAAAATCAGAACGTTCCATTTTACAATAGAAATGTGTATGATGACATCGAACGCTAACAATAACCTATCAGGCTACCACATTGTGACATACTTTACATAGGGAAATATGAGGGAGAAAGAGAGAGAAAAGGCGCGGGTTTGAACACAAGCAGACATACATCTAGTTCACTGATCACATCACTGGTCACCTGAGGTAACGATATCAGCACAGTGACATACTGTTTCTGTGCGCAAAGCACTGTTCTTTCTTATAATGTCACGCTGAGGTGATCATTGCGCGGCTCTTGGACTCACGCTGACTGCTTCTTGAGGTACCTGGTGATACCAGTGACACAGGCGATACGAGTACTAATGTCACTCTTCACTAGGCGCATGTCTCTAGGTGACAGCTTACTGCTAGCACTAAATGTCATCACATGCTGTTCCAATAGAGTATACTTTGGATTGCTCTGATTTTTATGGCACAAAATCACCTGTACATGTACATGTATGCAGTGAGTGGCAAGCTTACCTCCAGGTGAAGTCACGCTGATGGCTTCAAAGTGCATAGTGTGCTCATCCTCGTCATAAGAGCCAAAAAGAAACTAACAACACACACAGTGCAATTCAAAAAAGATCTGTCAAAACGTCTCAGTATAAAGCAATTGAAGATACCTTGCTACCGTGTATCCAACACATGTATACTGTCCATGCCCTGCAAAGTAATGACACATTGCTACCACTAGCTGCATTCAATTACAGTCATGTGCCTTGGAAAGAAATTGCCATGCCCTGGTTACAAAATGTAGCAAGAAGGAGCCAAAACTTCACAGGAAACAGGCAAGGCCTGCCTGCTTGCAGAAAGAAAGAGACGGATCATGAGACCTTTTTAAAACACAGAAATCAATAGCGTTGCTTACCGTAGCCACCACTACCAATAGAAACAGTATGCCAATCTTGATATGACGCATTCTAGAAACAATAGGAACATACAGCAAATAAACATAGGCTAGAGTGTGTCGCAAAGCACACCAAGTCAACACGCATTTAAATAGGAGCCAAGTGAAGCCTAGCAAATGTGCATGCTTTAGAAGACAATAAACATCAACCAGACTCGACCTTCCCAAATAAGCTGCTACAGTTATGCCAACCATCGCAGCAGAAAGTTGTGGCAAATGTCATGAAAGTGCTCCTTGCCCAGAGTTATGGGTATGAAGAAAAGAGCGGGTGCCAGCCCGCAGACTACCAAGGTGTGGGTCCACAGCTCTCAGGGCTGTATGATCTAGCTAGCACTGACTGTCACACGCCTCTTCACCTCCAACAACTGGTATTTAGCGCCATGCCTAACGCATCGACAGTATTACAATGATCAGCTCCCCAGTTTGGTTATCAGTTGTCTCATGATTGCTTGAGCATGAAACTGTAAGTCACAACCCAATCTTATTGGACATCTTCTCTTCATCTGATGTAGAGCTTTGAATACTAGATAAGAGCACTGCCAGTGCGCTGTCGGATAACCAATATGCCACATGACTGAGCGCCGGATAAGCGGTGCACAGCTGTACCCATAAACGATTTCAAGAGCAAATTTGAAATCAATAAGGAAAAGTAAGGCTAGTTGCTTTCTTGATCCACATGTCTCATACATTATTATCTTGGCTTGAAACATGAAATAACACCTTTTTCACCATGGTCCCATCTTCGAAATGGGGTATTATACACTATGCTCTGGGAAATACGGCACTTCCAAAATAGGCTCCAGCTCCAGCAGATTAGGAGATGGGAGAGCTGCTGACCTATTTGGTACCAGTATTTTGAAAATGAGTCCGAATTGTGAACACAGCATTCTTCGGCTATAAATTCCAGCTGCACCTTATAGAGCCGCACCCAAGGAGTTCTTGATGTGTATCTGTGTAAGTACTGTATTTGTCAGTGCAGTGCAGCGTAGTACACAGTTTGGACGTGCTATTTCAGACTCATGATTCGAAAATGGGCTATGTGTGTACTATGAGCGTATACTCCAGATATGGAATATACAGTAGTCAGCAGGATCAAATGCACTCCTTGTCTACCTGGAGATAGTCCAATTTTGTTGTCAAATGAATTGTGAGTGCGCATAACGCTTTCACTAGTTTTTTATAAGTGTAAGACAAAGTGCCCACTGCGCAGTCGCATACCGTGCTAAAAATGAAACTTATCTTCTTCCATGTGATTTCTTCTGTTTTAATTATATTTATTGGCTCAGTATCCGAGTTATATCCTCTGATGGTGCAAATATTCATTAGTTTGAGGGAACGTTGCAAACAGGATACAGGAATTGTGTAAATACCTGAGCTTTCCCCTATCTGAACAAGACAGGCCACGTCGCAACATTTCCACAACAATGTAAGCTGTGCTTTGCGTTGACTGGGCACTTGCGCCATTGTTGCCAATCAAGGGTGAACGTTCATGATTCCCATTCGCCTTCCCATCTGTCGTGGATTGGGTGGAGGCCAATAGATCAGCGTGAAGAGCATCATTAGTATGCTGCTGCTGACCGTCAATCAAGTCCTCCGGACCATCTCCGGACCGCATCACGTCGACATAAATTTCGGCCATTGTCTCGTCAGTCTCATAGACCGGGATCGACCTTCAACGATACTAATACACTAGTAACACTACTATGGAAGACTGCCCTATAGGCCTACAAGGCTACAATGTAACTAAAGTTATTTTCAATATTATTGAAATATTCCTCAAAACATTCCAACTTCGAAGAGCTGCTATATGCATGCATCAACTACATACAATCCACGAAACTCATCATTCACTGATCGTCCAAAGTTTGAAGTGCTATGAACTACTCCACGTTTCCTCTTCAATACGAGACAGAACAAATAAGAAGCTTCAGACTTGAGCTTTGCTGTCCGGAGATATCGGGGCTCGGGACAGATGCGAGACTTGAGAGATGTGTCAAAACTTTGACAAAAGGATGAAAAGGCCGATCTTCCGTACATTTGTACTTCGTGTACGTAGATGTCTGATCAAGACAAGAGTTCATGAACTCTTGCTGTGCATGCATGAAAACACCATACGAGTACCAACGACGTGCACGAATGCAACTCCACCAGATCATGCAGATTTTGCAGAATCCATCCACTGCACTGGTCACATGCACAATCACATGCACAGTCATTTTATTGATTTCACGCAGTAGCTCATGCACGTGCGCGTGCAAGTCATGAGATTCGGCCCGGGGACACGTGCGATCGTGCGATCACACAGCAGGATAGGATGCAGGTAGCGCTACCGCTAGCGCGCGGTGGTCATATCATGCATGATAATAATTATAATGCATGCAACAAATTATTGAACATTTTTTGAAGATTGAGTATTTTTCGAGTTTCAGATATTCAAACTGCGAGAGAATGACTCAATGGAAAATTGATCTTTGGCTGTGCCTGTACTAATACTAGCAAAAGTATAATTATAACCCATACTCTTACTGTTAGTCATAAGACTGCGCTTTTCATTCTGTTTCATTACGCTATTGATAATAGCGAAAGATCGTTCTGCATTGACGAACAAAGTATTAGTTTAGTGATCACCACATGGCTTTCGAATTATGGCCAATGTAATTCTGCAGTATTCTGGCCGGATCAGATGACGCACTAATTGTGAGTTAAAACTTTTTTTTTCCTTTTGACTTGTACATGTGCGTGTACTTGTATAGTATTCTCTACAACTCCATGGTAACATGGTCCATGCTGTAGAAATTGTGGTTTGGGTACGTGTCAGTGAAAACCAGGTACTTTGTATATTATAATAACAAGAGTGCATAAATAATGGTTTATGTACTCTTGATAATAATATACCGTAGTTCCGCGCATATAAGCCCATGGGCCTATATCCGGATATAAGCCCACATCCGTTTTTAGGCCCATGGGCTAATAAACAGACCCAAACACCGTAGTACAGCATGTCAGTGCCGACTACATTACCAGTACCGGTACCTACAGTAGGCGGACAACCGCGCACGGACTTGTACTTTTTCGCGTGCCAGCTGCCTTCAAAATTCGAATATAGGCCCAGGGCTAAAAACGAACCATTATTACTGACTTTTTTTCCCGGAAAATGCATTATTTCGTATATTAGCCCATGGGCTTATATGCGCGGAACTACGGTAATAATAATGACAGTTCGCATATCACTCATTGCACTATCAGAAGCAGATTGCACAGCATCCAGAAGTGAGATAATTTAAATAAAAAAGGTCCATTCCACTGGCCCCATATCATGCCTACAGGAATTTTTTCATGAGATTGTTTTGGCCCAAAGCTAGTGGACTATTGTGCTAGAATACATGTAGTTGTGAGTATGTAGTGCTCAGCGGTATGTCCAATGGAAGTGCAGTACTAAAGTCTTATGGCTGGTTACAACCTTACAGACATGAATCTGGATTAAAAGACGTGATGTAGGCCCAGAGGGGCACTCAGGTGAAAAGAAAAGACACTTTGGAGTCCGTGAAGTAGTTTGGGGTATTGAGTCAAATGGTCTTGATCGGAAGAGCCTGTGGCACACCGCTTTTCGCGTACTCCCTTCAAAGTCCTACTCTCATTCAAAGACAATCTCCCATTGTGCTGCATTCCAGTGATTAGGTCACTGAGTGCAACCAACCGTAGAGCCACACAGTCCTGTTTGAGTGCAAAATGGCCGACACTGAAGCCTGTTCAACAGGGCAAGAACGGTGCATGATAGCCTCTTTTCCGACCACACTGGAGGTAGGGATGTACATTACCTCGTACTTTGCGGTAATGGATCAGAGAACCTTGAGGCACTAACAGTCAGTTAGTATCTCAACGGTGCATATTGTCCAGGCAAAAACAGTTCCAGTTCATCCGGTGACGACTTGGTGTTAGCGTTCTGTTGGCAGACTTGAGCAACATGCCATCTCTTCTGAAATGCTTTCTCAGCACACTCATTGCATATACATGTACTACTTGGGCCTAGATTCCACTAGTGACACAACTCAACCTACCCACTAATGACCTATCTGTTTGTGTATGTGAACAGGTACGTAGAGGAGAGGCCTGACTTCGACTTTCATCATGGTGTCTCTGTCCATGGATCAGCTGCTGCGCAAAGTGGTCTTCACGAAATTCTTTACAAATGGATGGGGCCCCGAACATCAGCTACTTCAGTACGTGTGATTGTTGTTGCTACTAGATGTATTGTTATTCACTTTGGTCAATATCAGTACATGTGATTGGGTCCAGTGAGTATCAGTATGTCTCTACTCCAAGCTTCATGCAATGATGTCATCATCAGGAGGCAATGCTTACCCAAAGAGTACTAGTACTGGTATACAGTGGACTCTATCCTGCAAAGGATCATACGCTACACAGTAGACAGTACACGGTATTTGTTTGAAGTTTTATTTTACATCGCAAACCAAACGGGCATTGATGCCCAATATTATGATGACGACTCAGTAGAATAAAAAGTGTGGCTCGATAAAGCTGCACTTGAGAAAATGAGAAAACAGTCAATAGGAAGTATATGTACCGGTAATTACAAGTCAAGTTCAAGCGAATTAACAATCAGAGATAAATAGGAAGATGAGGACCTATGCCAGAGGGAGGTACTATTCGGTCATATTAACTGTAGAAAAACACTTTCAGCAATCTTTTAAACGGGGTTGGACGACGAGTGGACGTGAGTTCCTGTGGCAGGGTGTTCCAAAGCTTCACGGCGGAAAACCAATGGTCGGCTGTCGCCAGATGTTCGCTGAGTTAGCGGAACAACGTATTTGCAATTGTCATTGCTGCGGGTGTTACTGGGAGGTTGGAGGGCTACTCTATCTTTCAGAAGAGGGCTGATGCTGCTGGTGTGTACACGGTGCATAAGGAAACGGAGTTTGCATTGGGCACGTTCAATTACAGGGGTCAGGGAAAGGCGAGTGTATATAGGAGTGGTATGGGACGGGAAGGGCAGATTGGCCACGCAGCGAACACATTGCTTGTCGAGGACAGTGAGCCGGTGCCGCTGCAGAGCCGTGAGTGCAGAGAAGAACGCGTTTGATCCATAAAGCATGTCAGGAAGTATAAGGGCAGAATAGAAGAGGAGCGACGGGCGGATGGTTCTCAGGGTGGTTAGCTTCTGGGACGTTTTACGTACTATGCTGGAGACCTGCGCGTCCCACCGAAGACAAGAATCGATGTGTAGGTCCAGAAAGCGAGCAGTGGTGGTCTGGGTGAGAGGCGTCCCGTTGCAGTTAACGTTGAATTCCAGGGTACTACGGCGTGATGCCTCAATGGCTAAGACCTGCGTCTTGTCGGGGTTTAAAACCAGGCCTTTCCCGTGTAGGTAGTCAGCCAAGTTTGACACAGCAACTGTCAAGACTTGATTTAGGGTTGCTACGGATCTGCTTGCGGTGTCGAGAAGGATGTCATCCGCAAACAACTGGGAGTGTGCTGGGCTGGTGACGCTATGGACGTCCATGGTATATAGTGAAAACAGCAAAGGACCCAGTGCACTACCCTGAGGGACTCCACACTCGCATGCAGTTAGGCCCGAGCACTGCCCACTCGCCAGAACTACTCTCTGTCGATGATCCGTGGAGTAGCTCGCAAACCAACGCAATGCAGTCGAAGATACACCCAAAGCAAACAGATCTTGGATCATGAGCTGGTGCCGTACTTTATCGAATGCCTTGCTCATGTCCACTAGTACTGCGCCAGTATGTAGCTGGTGATCTGCTGACGACAGGTAGCGGTCCATGGCCAAGGTCAAGGCATCTTCCGTGGAGTGTTGTGGCCGGTACGCAAACTGATTGGCTGGCAAAAGTGAATGGGTTTGTAAGAAGTCACGTAGAGGACAAGGATCTCAGGGTCGTAGGTTCTTTGCAAATGTTGGGCGCCATTGTTAAGTATAGCTTTCACTCAATTCTCCAGACATTACAACGGACAACGGGAACAGGTTAGGTCGAACAACATTTATTGGGGAGACGAAGAGACTGAGACAAAGACGAACAAAACGACGACATTGTGGAAGAGAGAGAGAGAGAGACAAGAGAGAGAGAGAGAGATCAAGTGTGAACGGCAAGATAAAGTATTCAGTTGCCAGTCAGAGTTTTATGTTTGCATGTGATCCTCAGACTACATTGGACTGGATCATGCTTAGCTTAAAGCTCTGAGCTTCAAACTACAGCTGAACCTTGTTCTACCGTCGGTGAAGATCCTGCTGCCACAGGACTACTAGGCAGCAGTCTTCAGTCATTGCCATGACGCAAGCGAAGTACCCTGCTAACAGAGAAGTGTCAACATCATGGGGGGAAGCGGCTCATACAGAGGGGGGGGAGCAACTTAATTTTAAATTTTTAACTCCAAGTTTCATGCTCTGCTGTAGTCAATCAGAAACTCTAACTTGTGTTAAAGTAAGTTATCTTTCTCTCTCCCTGTTGTACATGCATTGGTGTGTACAGATTCATAAAGTTCCGGCGTGTCCTTGGTAACAGATTGGAGTGTGCATCACGTGTTAAAGACGATACACCCATCATCATTGAAAAGGTACAACAAATGAGTGTCATTTAGGACTTGATATACACCGTGACTCATGTGGTGTGCCGCGTGTCTTTTTATATTGATCAGGCCTGTGTCAGTGGATAAATTGCTTGTATAAATTACTGCCGTCATGATAATTGGACGACTTGCATCGTGCTATATTATGCTCTTCACCGTGGGTGTGCATGCATGCGCGTGTATGGGTGTGTGTGGGTGTGCATGCATGCGCGTGTATGGGTGTGTGTGGGTGTGTGTGGGTGCGTGCATTTGCTGATGGCAGGTGCAAAATCGCTCAGACCATACCATCACGTCTGGTCATTTCCTGTCTCCTATTGTTCACATTGCTGAAGGTATCTTGCCAAAGGAGAGTGAAAATTGCCAGTGAGTACTTTGCAAAATTTCGTCAGCTAGATTTTTTCAAATTGGCCGAAAGATTTGCGGCAAATAAATCCATGCAGAAAATTTTAGGACTTTATTTTACATACTGTTACATCTTTACCAGCTTATGAGGTTTGTTAGTATTGAATACTACTAATGTGTAGAGTATTGTGGAATGGGTGAGTTCACCCAATTGTGTGTAGGTAATAGCTGTTAGAAGTTGCTCCATGTGCCATGACTAAGCAGCACATTGAAATGACTAGCTCAGTGCTGTGTCCTATATGCTGTCTAGCACATACTGGCATAGCTCTCATTGGGCCATGGGGCTGAAAATCACTGGTAGGATGGATGGAAGCTGCTTTGGATTGGTCTGGCCATGACTTAGCCTTTCATACGTCTTTGTCTATTACCATAGTTTGGCCACGAATAGCCTTATTTGCCGATGAAATGCATGTAACGTTACAGCGGTGGCCAAAACTTGGGTCTAGCCAGGGCCGGACGAGTTCCGCTCGGCTTGAGTCTTACCAAAGCTATCACGATACATTTTCTATAGAGTAGTGGAGGTGCTGCTTCTAAGTAACTTACTTTGACTACTGTATGAGCAGAAAATTTCGTCGAACTCTAAAGAATGGGAGTTCGTCCGGTTGTAAATTTCGTCCATGGATCATAAGAGTGTATTGAAAAGCTGAACAAATCGATATTCGTCAGGCATTTAATTTAGTCCAAAAGCTCCTTGGACGAAAAAGACGAAATTAAATTCCAGACGAATATTTCTGCTTGTACAGTAACTAACTTCACGTAACTAACTTGAGTACTTCAAGTACATGGAGTAAGATAGCCAGTGGGCGAATGTTTGTCTTTGGTGTCGAACAGTGCAATCTAACGAGAGAGCTTGGAAGCTCAGGGCCCTACGCTATGCTTTTTTGCCTTGATGACCTAGACAAAAAAGCAAAGGGATGTTATAAATTCTTATAAGTTTCTACTTTTTGTTTTTGGACATAACCTGGGATTCGAACCTGCACTATCGCCCTGCATGCATCCCCCCATACACTTCGCATACATACTAATTCTTCCAAGTTGCTTCACGTTATGATCTTGTATTTAAAAGCCCTATTTGAATATGCATTGTGGCCAGCCGCGCCGTCTTTGATTGTACGGAACGGTACGGGACAGGTACGGTTGAGGGTAATACGACACCGTCTACCGCCTTGATGACGGCAAAAAAAGGAAAGGAATGTTATAAATTTTTCAATTCTCCTATTTTTTCAGGCATTACCTGGGATTCAAACCCGAACTATTGCCCTACATGCATTCCCCCATACACTTCGCATTCATACTCATTCTTCTAAGTTGCTTCACGTTATGATCTTGCGTGTGAAAGCCCTATTTGAATATTGCGGCCAGCTGTATGTGGCCAGCTGTGTTTGACGGTACGGTACGGTACGGGACAGATACGGGATAGCGCCAGGCGTGACACAAACACACAAACAAACACCAAATTAAAGCTGTGTCGACCCTGGCTAGCGCCAGACGTTACTGAAGTAACGTCTTCTGCATAGCTACGGGAATAAAGGACCGTATTGATCCAGAGCTGGCCGCTGCTGTCCTTACCGCATAAAGCTGCAATATCACAGCATTTCCTACATCGATATTGCCAAACCATCATGGACTTTAGTATAGTGAGCCAGGCATGGCAGAACCGGTCCAGTTGGTCCAGCCCTGGCATTGCAATAGACATAATTTTGTATTGAATTGTGTGTGTGTGTGTTTTTGATAGCTTTGAGCTTATCACTCCCAAACAGTGGCCATCAAGCAGTCGTCAGCCAGTTTGTATTCACTTAGCTGGAACCGGTGATCATGTAAGTATACCGTAATTCCGCGCATATAAGCCCATGGGCTTACATGTGAAACAATGCAGTTTGGGGATAAAATATCCAGTAAAACATGTTCGTTTTTTAGCCCATGGGCCAATATTCGAATTTTGAAGGTTCACGAAAAAGTACAAGTCCATGCTCATGATCAGTCTACCATACTCTACTGGTAAACTGCACTGACCTGCTGTACCATGGTAGGAAGAGTCCATTTTGTGAAAAATTCTACTTGACACGTGAGTTGCATTTGTGTCTGTTTATTAGCCCATGGGCTTATATCCGGATATAGGCCCGTGGGCTTATATGCGCGGAATTACGGTATGACCGTACTTGTAGTGGTACTGAACTGTAGAGGAGACGGTTTCGAATAGGAGATATGTCGCAAACCGGATCAGACTCAATGTTCACTTTCTCTCTTGGTATTTTGATTAGAACACATATGTCACAGTGAGACTACGATGTGTTTTACTCCGAGCCAAAATTTCATGGCTCTGCGATGACCAGAAGCGCCACACCAAGCAGGTGAGTTTCGATGTGTTGCTTCGCACTGCGACTTGAGTTTTACGTCTTTTGAAAAATCAACTTCTTGTCGCAGGTAAACAGCGGCTCGCCTCTCGCCAATGAAGCACCTTATACCAATGAAAACCAATGGAAGCACACACAAGGCTTATTGTTACTGTGTACTGGCCGTCGTGGAGCGTTAGCAATTACCTAATTTCAGAACTCAGAGTGAATTTGACGTGCACTCTAAAACCTTTCCGGCTCGGAGCCACCTCTGATTTGAAGCGAAAAATTGGGCAACTTGGAGGCAACGGGCCAACACAAAGGAGTGGCTCAGTTCGATTGACTCTGGCCTCAGAGCAAACTTCAACATGCCAGTTTCCTTCCACAAACATATTTCGAGTGAACAATCCACGCAGATGATCGGTCTATACAAATTTGGCTGTCAAGCCGTTCCGGTATCAACCCGTCGCCTCTACCTGTTGTCGTACTTAACCATGCATGCTGTCATACTGAACTGGACCTGCAGCTATTGTGCTGCCACAGTTAACCACATACACAGTCTACAGTGGCTGCTGTGGCTACTGTAGTTGCTGACTGAGTGCTGTGGCTACATAGCTGCTATGGCCATGTAGCCATTGCGGCTCCTGTGTGAACTGTGGCTGCTGGTCATAGCATTGTTCAGGTGGGTACTTCATATACCTGCACGCACAGCACATAAGAGGCTTGTGAATGGAATCATTATGACGAATGTGTAAGCCTCCTTTGTGGTGTTGAATTTCTTTGGCCAGGACTTCTCAATCACATGTTTGTATATTGTATTCCGTGTGTTTCTTCTACAGGGTACATTGTGGCGGCGCCAGCAACTAGCATACCCACTGCTGAAGAAAGGCATTGGCTCAATCATCGTGGAGAACCCATTCTATATCCTGCTTTTCTTGCCAAGCTATTACTGCCACTTGTGTAGTTTCTACTGTGCTGCGGATCTGCCACTTCTGTAGTTTCTGCTGTGCTGCGGATCTGCTAGCTACTATGTACAAGTCAGTCTTGTGTAATTGAGACCAGTGCAGGCGTACAGGGCAGTACAGGGTAGTTGAGACCAGTGCAGGCGTACAGGGCAGTACAGGGTAGTTGAGCTGACCAGTGCAGGCGTACAGGGCAATACAGGGTAGTTGAGCTGATTTCTGATTGATCCTTGACCTGGCTGTGTTATACATGGAGTTCGCAAACCTCCCGGCCAATTGTAAGTCTCACTACTTGCACTGTCTGAGACTGTCAGATCAGTCTACATGTAATACTAATAACCTGGATGTATGATCAGTCTACATGTAGTACTAATAACCTGGATGTATGATCAGTCTACATGTAATACTAATAACCTGGATGTATGATCAGTCTACATGTAATACTAATAACCTGGATGTATGATCAGTCTACATGTAATACTAATAACCTGGATGTATGATCAGTCTACATGTAATACTAATAACCTGGATGTTGTATGAGCATTGCTAATCACCTACATGTATCACACACACGATGCCAGCTTGATGCCATGGGGACGTCTGGGAGTCTGTATGCTACATGTAGAATGCATGCAGACAATGATCTTGTCTTGTTTATTCCATGCAGGCGGTCAGGTCTTCTTCATGTAAATGATCTGTTTGTACTTGGTGGAACGTTGACAGTGGAGTCGCTAGTGCTGCTGCGGCATTGTGAACGGCTGGGTTACGGTCCACTCGGTGTTAGTGGTATATCTCTAGGAGGGCATGTAAGTGTGTGCATGTTCAGCATGTCTCACTCATGTACTTGTAAGTGTGTGCATGTTCAGCATGGCTCACTCATGTACATGTAAGTGTGTGCATGTTCAGCATGGCTCACTCATGTACTTGTTTGCATGTTTATTTAGCATGTCTGCAGCCAAACTCTCACGTGTGCTGTGAAGTGAAATGTGAAAAGATATGTGCTGGGATATTGCATGTGTGTTGTGAAGTGATGTGCTGGGACATTGTACGTGTGTTGTGAAGTAATGTGTATTGGAACATTGTTTGTGTTGTGGAGTGATTGTGCCGTGAGTATGCCTTCTACTGATTGTGCCGTGAGTATGCCTTCTACTGATTGTGCCGTGAGTATGCCTTCTACTGATTGCCTTATCCTCTCTATACCTACACGTAAGCAGTGGCAACTGCTGAAATAGTTCTCCTTGGGGAAAGCGCGAAGTTTTTGTTTTTGTTTAAGTGCAGAGCTGCTAATGTAAAGCTGCATAAGCGGCAGTATCCACGTGGACGCTGTTGTTTCTCTGAGAAGAGAAGCTCCGACTTTCACTGAAATTTGGAAGGACCTCAGATCAGCTCTCTCTCTCTCTCTCTCTCTCTCTCTCTCTCTCTCTCTCTCTCTCTCTCTCTCTCTCCTCACAATAGTTATGTTGTTGTATCCACATGTGGTTGCTTGCTATAGTATTGATCAACGCTACGCCCAGCTATGTGTGTGCTGACTTGCTATTTGGCTTGTTGTTTCCTCTGCAGAATGCAGCATTAGCTGGTCTGATGTGGCACAAGCCTCTTGTTATCGTTCCGTGTTTAAACGGTCTCTCCGGTGCCTCCATCTTCACTCAGGTGAGAGGATATACTGAGGATAACTACGTACTTCCCCAGTATACTATTGTTAGGTACCTTCTCCCGTACATTGCCTCCTCCTGCAGCCTTTTCCTGCTGGCTTGCATGCACCGTACTCGCCTTTTGTTACGTTCGCCTGGGTAGCTACTTGCACGCCCATAGTTACCATAGCCACCCAGGCCCTTTATCTAGCACTTTACGCATGTCCTTCAAATGCCTTCACTTTGTAGATAAGCTAGCTTACTCTCCAGTACTCTGATTTCTATCCTTTTTTTTACTCTCCAGTACTGTGATTTCTATCCTTTTTTTTACTCTCCAGTACTCTGATTTCTATCCTTTTTTTTACTCTCCAGTACTCTGATTTCTATCCTTTTTTTAACTCTCCAGTACTCTGATTTTTATCCTTTTTTTTTCTTTGGAAATAGTAATGTGCCTGTTGGGACTGTTCCTGTGCTAGTGTATTGGCAGCAGTGGCTGTTCCTGTGCTAGTGTATTGGCAGCAGTGGCTGGGACTGTGCTAGTGTATTGGCAGCAGTGGCTGGGACTGTGCTAGTGTATTGGCAGCAGTGGCTGTTCCTGTGCTAGTGTATTGGCAGCAGTGGCTGGGACTGTGCTAGTGTATTGGCAGCAGTGGCGATGGCGATGGCGATGGCGATAGCTACCCAGCGTTATAGCTGTCAGTACAAAGCAGTGTATTGACTTGTTTTTCAATTCCAATGGTACCTGAGATTGCCTCAACTCATTGTTATTGATGTTTGTACTTTAAACAACCTGCACTGGTGTTAACAATTAGTCATGTTGCACTGGTGTTCCTATTTCTTGTGTCTATGCAGGGTGTGCTGGCCAGAGCTTGTAAATGGTCCAAATTAGAAGAAGATTTGCAGTCGTATCGCTTGCGTGGTATTCAGCACCTGGCTGCTCATCTTATGCAGCAAGTGGATGGTGTTCAGGTGCGCATTGCTTGAATTTACCATGATACCACTGTGCTTCTGTGTATGTGTGTTGTGATATCAGTTATGTGGGTAAGGGTGAGGTGTGACGCCCTGTTACAGATGCTATGTGAAGTTTGAATTCTCTTCTGTAACGAAGGATGCTTGCTGCTCGTGGTGTGTTTGTCTGTGTTTCTTGTAGCTGCGATCAGAGACCGGGTTTGAGTACGATGACAGTGCAAATCCACACAGCAACATTAGCGTACCGGCTCACTTTGAAATTCCGTCTCATCTCCACAACCCCGACATTGCGCAGCTGAGGCAGAGTTTCGGCGATAGCTTTGATTTCATGCGCTGGTTGATGGATGAAGTGTCGCACCTTCAGCGTATGCAAGTGCCCGTCAGTGGCTCCCGTATTATCAATGTCTTAGCCAAGGATGACGAGTATATACCACGCTATCCCGGTCAACTTTCTGACATCTGGAATGGTGAGTAAAAATGCAAGACCTCTCAATGTGAGCAAGCTGTATGTTTTTTCTGTATCTTGGCCGAAAAATACCGTTGGTTTGGTATCGCTTCGAGTACTTTTGACAATAGAAGGCTCTGTTTCCCAGGGGAACGAAACGGTAAGATTCAAATTAGGGTGACGTCGCAAGCCGATCGTTGTTTCAGAAACCGAAATGCTAATCATGTCTTGAAACACACAAAAAAACGGTACAGGCCGATGGTCGAAGTTCGGCTGAACGGTAAAAAATGCTATTTAAACTATGTCAACTATGTTTTACTCCCACCATGGGATGTGTATCCACACATTTTACAGTGTATCATGTGTTGGTGTGTTTCTTTCAGACTGTGAGACAAGATATACATCTGGTGGCCATGTATCCTCATGCATCTTGAAGTTGGACGAGTTCAGGTAACGGCTGTACTCTTAGATATCTCATCCTACATAACGATCATATTCTCTCACGTTGTCCGATACAATGTGAGCACGTGTACTTTGAGCAGTCTCCAAGTGTTCTTACTCTAGCGGAGTGCTCCCAGTACCCTGGCCTGGCCTGGCCTGGCCTTTCTACACCTTCTACAAGTCAATAGCTCCCCATTAACTTTATTGATCCAGCACTGTTTGTGCAACAGAAATTATGGCGGGTGCGGAGGATTTACCGTACCGCTGTCCAATTACGGGACATTATGGTTCCTGAACATTTTAATCTCCTGCTCTTCTTTTTGTGTCTCAGGACATCTGCTGTTGTTTGTGTGTGTCTCAGGACATTCATTGTTTCTATGTAACTGTGTTGTTGTTGCTGCTGCTGCTGCTGCTGCTGCTGCTGCTGCTGCTGTTGTTGCTGTTGTTGTTGTTGTTGTTGTTGTTGTTGTTGTTGTTGTTGTTGTTGTTGTTGTTGTTGTTGTTGTTGTTTACAGGAAAGCCATTTCAGATGCGTTTGACAGTTTTGATGGCTCTTGATGGTCACCACTACACATCAATGACAATGGTCATGTTTAGCGTCTGTAAGTTGCTTGCTTCCATGGGCACATCAATACTGGAAGTATATGACAGACAGACCCCTATTGCTGCAGGAAAACTGGCCAGGCCCTGCTCTACCACCACAGGCCATGCCTTGCTACCTCAGCCATGCCGTGCTGTGCTTGACTACCTCAAGACCAGCTCGTGTACTTGGTGCCGTACGCAAGGATATGGAGTTGAAATGTGTGATTGCAGGCGCTCCTGCACTGCAGCCTAGCCTGGGTTATCAATATTCTTATGTAGTTGCCAGCATTGCCAGCAACTTGAGAGGGCAGTTGAGAAGTCTAAATGGATATTTGAACTTGGACCTCTGACTGTTTTTGTATGCCAGCAAATAGCGGCAATGAGAAATTTTAGCGCCTACTGGTACACATGTTGTCTACTGGTACACTCATGTTTTCTAATTTACCCAACTGTACTGTCAAGAGTATTCTAAATTTGATCAGTGCCGTAGCTACCATTAATAGTTATTACAACATTTCTCTTTTTATTTATTTTCAAATCTTAACTTTAACCTACCAGCCCTATGCATACTGCGTGTACTTGGCTGTATAGCCTAGCTGTGTCAAATTTAGAAAACAGTCGGTACTGAAGATGACAGTAGTACTTCAACTACGTGTAACATATTTAAAATCCAGTTTATCTCCATCGTGATACATGATGTGGTACAAGTCTGTCAAATCAGCTTACTCCTTGGGTGTAACTTGTGGTGCATAAGCAACGGTGTGCAGTCATGTACTCTGGATACATTTGCAGTGCTGCTCAATGAAATCCGTTCGCCTGCGTCATGCGCCATCTACCATTTCGCATCAGTAAATGCTGCACAATGTCGGGTGCGTACTTGAGTGACTCGACCGGATTTCCTTGACCAGTACTGTACTATCAAGCCGAAAGAGATCACAGTCACTGTCACAGCCACAGCCACAGTCACAGTGACATGCTCATGGTGACGTATGGAATCTTGTTGTCTTGGCATTTCATGCACAGTGTGTTCATTTGGTCCAGAGTAGTAATATGCTTCTTTTAAAAGTTTTAGGACTTCCTGATTTGTTCCATGGTCCAGCTCAGTCCCCCCCCCCCCTAACTCTTGGTTGTGTGTGCATTGTGTTCATAGTTAGAACATGCATATCGGCTGTTAATTGCGTGAATGATTTATAATAAAGACAGTACAGTACCCTGACCCATAACCACAGTTGCATGCGCTTGTTTATGGACTCTTCATACTTGTAATACAATCATGTGCAATACATTGCACTGTAGTATGCCTGTGTTTCCTGCCTCATACAGTCATAGCTGTCCTAAAGCCATGCAGCTACATGATGTAGCAACAGTTATAGCATGGACACAGTTCCATCAACCATCATCAGAAACCACACACACTATTCCACTGATTCTGCTATTTCCTAAAATCACTAGCTACACATGTACATGTCCCCAAGAGTAAACGAAAGAGCTTGGAAGCTCAGGGCCCTACGCTATGCTTTTATGCTTTTTTTTGCCTAGCTCATCGTACATGTTATTAGAACTGATGTAAATGTTTTATAGCCCACAATGCATGAGAAGCTTGGGTCCTCATGGTCCAAGGCATGCAGTAAACATGCCTACAATGAGTCCATCTACATGAACTTCTAAATAAAATAATTTCAGAACAATGGCTGCCAGGCAACAATTCAAAGCTCAAACAGTGCACACTCATTGTACATAATTATTATGACGTACACAGCTCATGTACAAGTAGGCCATCATAGCTAGCAGAGTACCAAAACTTCAGAAAGTGAGTGCAACTCATTGCGAACGACACAAAAAGAAAAGCACAGTACGTGTACAAGCTAAAATGTGCTGCAAAAGAAGTGGTTTGGATCAGTGAACACCAGCAGAATGCACAACATTCAAAATGAACAATGTTCCAAATAGATCACCAGAATGTGTGACTGAAAAGGAAACACACATCTGTGATGGCAGTAAAAGTAATTAGCTATGATGTTTGTATGTAGTGATGCACAATGTTCCATGACTAGTACCAAGAGTATAATATACTCTTGCTAGTACATGTAACTAGCACAGAACAAGGCTTTGTACTTTTGAGTAGTGAACTGTGCTCATGGGATGTATGGAGAAATAGACCTGATGAGATGAGCAGCATGAAGAAATATGACTTAAAATTGTATCAGAAAGCACACAAACTTGATCACCAGCCAACGTACATTGGACAAGTACAGACACAAGGTTCATTCAAGTGACTGGTAGTGGCATAAGTAACTGTTACTGGGCAAGGCTGGGTTGGGCTGCTCCTAAACCAAGGTTGAACTTTTTTAGGAGCCAACTAATTGATTGCAAGCAGTGCACGTCATCTCTGGAGTAGTGCTGCTACTGTTGCTGCAAACTGCAAATACTTGTCACATACACACACGTATGCTGCAAGTGGTATCAACAGGGCAGCACAACACAGAACCAGTCAGCATAGCTACCCGTTGAGTCCACACTGAGTACTGGCACATACACGTTGATTGGTCTAACACCATTGGCGGCCGGAGCAGTACAATGTCAACGCCTCTCCCAAACTCCTCTAGCTACTACTGGACACTTTGCGAGTGTCTTGAGATGTTTCTTTCACCAGTAAACGACATTGGCCAATAGCTGTAGACAAAACGTCACACAACATCACACAACACACAAACTACTAGTAAGCACACATGACAGCATTCCCACACATTCCCACACATTACTATATGCTCGTGCAAAGCTCGCTACGTTCATCACAATTAGAGCACTGTGACTTAGATGCGGGGAGCCAGGCTAAATATGCAGTTTGTTGTTCATTAGCCTTCATTGTGATCGATTCGGCCAGTAACTCTGGGCTTTGCTGAAGAGACCTAACAAGGTGAAAACAGCTAGCTATCCGGAGATTGACTATAATTATGCTCATGTAACTACTACAGAAGTAGTGTAACAAATGATTGCCATCGTGTATACTGGTATTAGAAATGCACACCATCGCACCGATAACATACTTTGAAGTACATATACAAATTACTCCATCTCCGAGAAGCTAGCTATTACAACCTTCCTAGGTCTCCTCAGCGGAGCTTAGGGCCGGGTTCCATTGCGGCTCCGCTGCTCAACATCCGCGGCTTGAAACGTCATCATTACCATAGTGACCGCGGCTCAAGCTGGAGCAGCGAGGCCACGGCTCACCGTGACCTTTCGCTACGATTCTTGATCAAAAACTGTTTCCCGTACTTTGCATTGTTTTGTACGCGAGAATTTTAAAATTCAAATTTTATTTCGTTGCGCAGGCCAGAACACGAGGTTTTTTTTATTTTGCGCCGCGAATGACGAGTGTCAGTGGAACCGCGCTGCTCCGCTACATGCAGCCAAGTGCCGCGGAGCAGCGGAGCCGCAGTGGAACCCGGCCCTTAGAGTCACATGTACAAATTATGTAGCATTCCTAGTGTGCATAACACACAGGTAAGTTAAAACCCAATCCGCTACAGCCTGGTAATAGTGAGGTTCTCTGAGCTCCGATGAGATCTAACAAGGTCGAAACAATCAGCAATGATCAACTAATAATAACTATTGCACATGTGGGGTAACCAAGGCAACACATCACGACAGCCACCGTTTTTAAAGGTAGAGTTGCGCTATGGACCTTAGACACAGATTTCACGGATACTGAACTGACCGGCACAGCCTGCTCATGGAAACTGAACTGACCAGTGTTAGTCTTGGTCATATGCTGTCTGATGAAGTGTTCTGACACGAAACTCGGAGTAACAGCGGAATGAGACTTGTTTGATTCATTGCTGTGTAATATTTGTATGTATGTATGTATGTATGTATGTATGTATGTATGTATGTATGTATGTATGTATGTAAACTCGGAGGGAGTTGTGGTTGCTCGTGAGAGTGCTCAATACACCAAGGTGCAGAGCCTAGTACACACACTTGAGAGGGACGAAAAGCGTTTCTTCTGTAACTCTGAGTTTCACGGTTTTAAAGTTGCTGTCTGATGATCGATTAAAACCGTGAAACTCAGAGTTACAGAAGAAACGCTTTTCGTCCCTCTCAAGTGTATGTATGTATGTATGTATGTATGTATGTATGTATGTATGTATGTATGTATGTATGTATGTATGTATGTATGTATGTATGTACATAGCAGACTCAGCGGAGGACGTTCAGGTTGGTTGTAACTCTGAGTTTCATGCCGCTAGGCAATCATCAGACAACTGATACTCGGGCCTACCCAACAGTATGCTTATAAACATAGAGCCACAAGCATAAACAAATTTAGCGCTAAATCTGGTGTGAGGTATGGGGAGAAAGCTAGCGCGGGCCAAGGCGCGACAGGGGAAGTGCCAGGATGGTGGCGGGCAACAGGCAGGTGTGAGCATGAAAGCGCGGAAAGAGGCGATGGGGAGGCAGTGTACAGCAGATGGGTGGAGGTGCCAGGAGGGTGGCGGGCAATGGGCCAGTGAGATCGCTACAAGTAGGGAGTCGTTTGGTGACGGGCAGGCGTGAGCAGAGTGGCATCGCCGACTACAGGCCAAGGGATTTTTGTTATTAATAATAATGGGTGCTCAGGCAAAGTGCAGTACAGTACTTGGTCAGTTCATTTGATAGGTGTGAAATTTGCGAGGCGGAACTTATTCTCGTGCCTGCATTTCGAGACCATCTCGGACCGCTTGTTGAGTAGGAGCTTCTTGGGTGTAGTCAGGATGTGGAATTTTTCCGCGGTACAAAGATTGCATTTTTTTGACTCACATCTGTATGATCGGCTCTTCTCCCGCACCTTCCATGTAATGGTCAACGGCTTTCCCTCGCTCTTCAGCTCCCATACGTGTTTTGCGAGCTCAGTGCTGTTTTTGTATTTTTCATGACGCATGGAGGTCAGGTGGTTGGCGTGACGGGCTTTGAAAGGTGTCTCTGATAGGCCGATGTAAATCTTGCTGGTAGATTCTGCAGTGGCCTCATACACAATCTCCTTCGTCTGGCACTCTCCGCGCAGCGGGCAGGATTCCTTGATTCTACAGTTGCATGCCTTGGTTTGTTCTGGCTCTCGGAGGTTGCTCTTGTTGTGGCTGCTGATGACCGCTCCCATGTTGGGCATGCAACTGTAGCTCACTTTCAGAGTGTTACGGTTGAAAATCTTCCCGAGCTTGGATGCTTTCGGGAAGTGCCTGGAGACAAGGCTCAGGAACCTACCAGCGACGTTTGTGCTAACGTTTTTGGAGTAGGGAGGGTTGAACCATATGATCTTCCGGCTGCGGTTCTTCCTGCCCATGTGCTCATGTGCCTCGGGCTGAAAGCTCAGCACTTCGGTGTATCCACTGGCCTTTAATGCGGTCTGGTACACGGGGGCTGCATGGTTGAATGCCTCCGCGTCGCTCGATATAGCGGAAAGGCGCTTGTTGACAGCAGCAGGGATGTTGTTGGTGATCCCAGGCGGGTGGTTGGACTGCTTGCTGACGTAGAGCGGGTTGTCATTTGGTTTTCGAAAGGGTTGAAATTTCCCGGTGTCCAGGTTCATGGTGACATCCAGGAAATCCACCACCTTCAAGTTCGCTTCGATGGTAATTTTGAGGTCGAAGCGCTTGAAGATTTCCGTCAACTTTTTTCTGAGGCGGTCTGCAGCCTGTGGGCTGGTGTCCTTGAGGGCGGCCAGTCCATCGTCTCTGTAGAGGCCGATAGCGGATCTATCGACGAGGCTTGAGAGCTGGTTGAGAAGAAAGGCTCCCACAAGTTCGCACGTCTCGGCGCCATCGTAACTTCCCATTGTTACGTCGAACATGTCGCCCTTGTCCTTCATCCAGGGGCGGCCATCGTGGAATAGGAGCGATTTCCGGGCGTGAAAGATGATGTCCATTTCACGCGGCTCGATCGTGGTGAATTGCTCCGCGAACGATAAGGCCTGACGGAGGAGCTGCTCACCAATTGACGGGTAGAATTCTACCACGTCAAAGCATAGGAACGTGTGGCGCTGTTTGTCGGGTATCTCCTTGAACCACTCGATCACTGACATGGTGCTCCTCCATAGGTTCACGGCCGTTTGGCGACGCACAGCAGCCACGATCTTCTCCAGTATAGCCTTGCTCACCACACCCACCTCCGATTTGGCTGGGTTAATGAGTCTGCAGGGCAGCGCTCTAGCGAAGTTGTTTTTGTGGTCTTTCAGTGTTATAAATGCTTCCGACTTAGCCAGTACATCCATCCTGTTTTGAAGATCTAGATCCTCTGCGATCTCCTTCGCCTCGCTGTTGACTTCATCGTAAGCATTCTCAGGCGCGATCTTGTAGTTTTTGGTGATGTTCTCCTTCATCAGCTTGCTGTATTGCTCTTTTGGTACTTGGTACAAATTCCGGGTTTTATCGGCTTTCACGATGATGTCTTTAGAGTTTTTGATCGTTTTGGTGTCTTTTCTCATAGTGTCTTGGAGGCTGTCTGATACTTGGCGGAAGCTGACCGTTTCAGCCACGCCAATGAGGTCCTCTTCGAAGGCCTTCAGTTCATCGACTTGCGGAGGACACGTCCTGCTTCTGAAGCCGAAGCGTTCTGGTTGCTCCTCTTCGCGTTCCTCACCATTGAGGTAGAAGAAGGCAGCCCACCTCATACGCTTGATGACTTGCTCAATCCTGTCAATCAGACATTTCCGGTACTGCTTGGGTGACGGTAGAGGGATGTTCTTCAGGGAATATCCAAGTTGCATTGGCCTTGAAGCGTCCATAGCTAGCTTGCAGTGTAGGGGTAGAGTGCTCGACTGGGTAAAGCCAGGAGCGTAGACGAATCCGTTGATCCCCGAGCTGCAGAGAGTGCTCAATGTCAGAGACACCTTTCAAAGCCCGTCACGCCAACCACCTGACCTCCATGCGTCATGAAAAATACAAAAACAGCACTGAGCTCGCAAAACACGTATGGGAGCTGAAGAGCGAGGGAAAGCCGTTGACCATTACATGGAAGGTGCGGGAGAAGAGCCGATCATACAGATGTGAGTCAAAAAAATGCAATCTTTGTACCGCGGAAAAATTCCACATCCTGACTACACCCAAGAAGCTCCTACTCAACAAGCGGTCCGAGATGGTCTCGAAATGCAGGCACGAGAATAAGTTCCGCCTCGCAAATTTCACACCTATCAAATGAACTGACCAAGTACTGTACTGCACTTTGCCTGAGCACCCATTATTATTAATAACAAAAATCCCTTGGCCTGTAGTCGGCGATGCCACTCTGCTCACGCCTGCCCGTCACCAAACGACTCCCTACTTGTAGCGATCTCACTGGCCCATTGCCCGCCACCCTCCTGGCACCTCCACCCATCTGCTGTACACTGCCTCCCCATCGCCTCTTTCCGCGCTTTCATGCTCACACCTGCCTGTTGCCCGCCACCATCCTGGCACTTCCCCTGTCGCGCCTTGGCCCGCGCTAGCTTTCTCCCCATACCTCACACCAGATTTAGCGCTAAATTTGTTTATGCTTGTGGCTCTATGTTTATAAGCATACTGTTGGGTAGGCCCGAGTATCAGTTGTCTGATGATTGCCTAGCGGCATGAAACTCAGAGTTACAACCAACCTGAACGTCCTCCGCTGAGTCTGCTATGTACTAAGCTCTGTCTCTGACATTGAGCACTCTCTGCAGCTCG